TGAATATGTATAAGGGGACTTCAATGTCAATGGTATGGGATGCAGGTAAAGCATTTATGCGTGGTGTCTTGATAAAAATGAATAATTGTCATAAGCGGAAGCAGATTCAGAAACGTAGAGAACTTGAAGACGAAATTAAATCAAAAGAAAGGGCCTTGATTCTAAATCCTTCTGATGAAAGTATTAAAGAATCTGTAAAGTTATTAAGGTCACAATTTAATATGTTGATAGCAGATCAAGCTGCAACTAATTTATTGTTTATGAAACAAAATACATTTTGTAATGCTAATAAGCCTGGGAGATGGTTGGCTTATCAATTAAGAAAGAAACAGAGACAGAGAATAATAGAGAAAATAAATTACAAGGGTAAATTAGTTTTTCAGAAGGAATTGATCAAAAAATCTTTTTTGGATTATTATCAAAAGTTAAACAAATCTACTAACGTGCAACTGCTAGATATAAATAAATATCTAGCTGAGGCAAGTTTTCCCTTCTGAGGATCAGAAACATGAAATTAATGGCTTAATTACTAAGGAGGAAATTGCCTCAGCAATTCAACAATTGAAACTAGGGAAAGCACCGGGTACGGATGGGTTAACAGCTGTTTATTATAAAGCTTTAATGGAGGAGATGATCCAACCATTAAATGATCTTTTTAATGGTATCTTACAGGGTTTAGAGATTCCTCCTTCATGGCGTAGTGCTTTTATATCATTGATTCCAAAGGAGGATCAAGATCTTACTTTACCAAAAAATTATAGGCCTATATCTCTTTTAAATGTGGATTATAAGATATTTGTAAAAATTTTGGTAAATAGGCTTATGAGGGTGGTGCATCATCTTGTGCATAAAGATCAATCAGGGTTTATAACAGGAAGGTATATGAAAAATAATGTTAGACAAATTATTAATCTATTAGAATATTTAGACAAGAACAACCAAGTTCCTGCAGGGCTCATATTTTTAGATGCTGAAAAAGCATTTGATCAATTGAATTGGCATTTTATGCTAAGAGTAATGGAAGAAATGAATTTTGGCGAAAAGATATTACAAGCCTCTTACGGTAATATATCAAAAACAAATGGCACAACTTATTGTTAATGGAGGTTTGTCGGAGGTTTTTACAATAGAGAAAGGTACTAGACAGGGGTGTCCTTTATCGCCATTGTTGTTTGTTTTAACATTGGAAATATTATTGATTAAAATTAGAGAGTCTCAGGAAATTAAAGGAATAGAAGTTAACAAAAAAGAATATAAGTTGAGAGCTTTTGCGGATGACTTGGTTGTTACTTTGTCGCAACCTGATCGCTCTGTAGTAAACTTATTACAGTTGATTCATTATTATGGTTTGGTTTCGGGTTTCAAGATTAATGTAAATAAGACTAAAATTTTACCTAAAAATTTGTCTAGTCAGGAGAAGCAGATTTTGGCTAATTTGACGGGTTTTGAGATTGTTAATAAGGTAAAATATTTGGGGGTGATGTTGTCTGTTTCTAATGTAAAATTATTTAAAAATAACTATGAAAGGTTGTGGGTCAGGGTACAGAAGGACTTGAAGAATTGGGAGAAGTTGCAATTATCCCTCATGGGAAGAATTGCAGTGATAAAAATGAATATTCTACCCAAGTTTCTTTTTTTGTTTCAAATGTTACCGATTTTGAAAAATGAGATTAACCTAAGTGAGTGGCAGAAGGGTCTTAATAAATTTATTTGGGCAGGGAAAAAGCCAAGGGTTAAGTTTAAAATTATGCAAGACTTCCGTGAGAGGGGTGGACTCAAGGTACCAAATTTGAAATTATATTACGATGCGGTGGTTTTAACACTAATTAGTGATTGGGTAAATTTGACAAATCCTGAGATACTTCATATAGAGGGATGGGATTTACTTTATGGGTGGCATGCCTATTTAATATTTAATAAAAAAATGGATTGGGTCTTTAAATCTCATATTTTAAGAATCTCTTTACTTAGGACTTGGAGAAAATATTATAAAAGTGATTTTAAAGTTCCATTATGGGCCATACCTTGGCATGCGATAGAAGGAATAAAAAGAGGTGTAAAAATGGATATGGTGTCTTATAGTCAGTTACTTAGATGGGATGGGCAAAACTGGCAGTTAAGATTACGGGAAGATTTAGCGCAAGAAAATATTATTTATTCTTGGTTCCAATATAGGCAACTAGTAGATAAATGGAAGGTGGATTGTAAATTGGGTTTTCTTAGAGAAGATGGAAATCTTATTAAGCAAGTCAAGGATCAAAGACAAACCCATATCAAGAGAATCTATGGGGTATTAGTTGAAATGGACTCAGAAACGGAATTAATTAAAGACTGCATGATTAGATGGGCGCAGAATTTTGGTGTCCCAGTCTCATTGGATATCTGGGAAACCATTTGGGTGAGAAATGTCAAATTTACACAAGCACAGAACCTTAGGGAGAATTTTTATAAAATGTTTTATAGATGGCACCTTGATCCACAAAAAATGTCTCTTATGTACCCTGACGTACAACCCAAATGTTGGAGATGTGGTTATACGGATGCTTCTTATTATCATATTTGGTGGTCATGCAGAGAGATAAAAGCATTTTGGATCAAAATATGGTGGAATATCCAGAGAATTTTTAGAAGGAGGGTAAAATTTACTCCGCAATTATTTTTGTTGGGCATTGTTACAGATTGTGATACAAAGGAGGTTGTATTGATGTTAAATTTGATTACAGCCGCCAGGCTGTTAGTAGGACAATACTGGAAGAAGGAATCTTTGCCTACATTGCAGGAATGGTTTCTTAAAGTAGCTTATCTGGCGGAAATGGCAAAGATTTCGGCTTTCTTAAAGCAACAAACGCAAGAGAAGTTTCTTGCCGTTTGGGACAAATGGATAAAATTTATACAATTTAGATTGGGTATTAAAAAATATCACATAGCTTTTTCATAAGTTTTATTTTCATATATAGAGAATGTTATATATAGATACTTTTTTTATATATATAAATATAAATTTTTTAACTTAATTTTTTATTTTTATTTGTTAATTTTTAACTAAGCCTATATTCTGCTCTGGGAAGCTCAGGGGGGGGAAGGGAGGGTGTTTGTGAGGGGTGGGGGATGGGTTTTTTTTTTATATGTGATGTTTAGTTTTTTTTGTATATGTTGTTTTTTGTTTTGTATTATTTTTGTCTTTTTGTAAAATTTATAAAACTTTCAATAAAACGTATTTGCAGTGACAAAAAAAAAGAACAAAAAGAAAGTAAGAATAAACAACTCAAAATGTACTAATAAACATTTCTGACATTTAAAAATAAAATCAGTGACCAATATAGCCATCCTTCTTTTCAATAACACTCATGGAGTGTGTCAGTTTCTTAATCTGCTGACGATCAATGTTTTGTGCAGCACAATTACAGCCTCCTAGACACTGTTCAAAGAGATGTACTGTTTTTCCTACACAGTATATCTCCTGTTTAAGAGGGGCCCACAAGGTCTCAATAGGGTTTAGGTCAGGTGAAGAAGGGGGCCATATCATTATTCTTTCACCTTTAAGGCCATTACTAGCTAGCCACGCAGTGGAGTACTTAGATGCATGTGATGGAGCATTGTCCTGCATAAAAATCATGGTCTTCTTGAAAGATGCAGACTTTTTCCTGTACCACTGCCTGAAGAAAGTGTCTTCTAAAAACTGGCAATAGATTTGGGAGTTGATTTGGAGTCGATCTTCAACCCGAAAAGGTCCATCTAGCTCAGTGATTCTCAACCTGTGGGTCGGGACCCCATTTGGGGTCGAACGACCATTTCACGGATGTCGCCAAACAATGCAGTCCGCCATTTTTTCCCTCTTTTCCTTAGCTGTGCTACTCCCTTTTATTCTATTGGCTTTTGAAAGCCAATAGAATAGACTCTCTTGAATAGAGTCTAATTCTATTGGCTTTCAAAAACCAATAGGAATTGTCCAGGCTGTCTCTGCCCTGCTGAGCCCGCCAAAAGTCCCATTCTGCAAACGGTGCTGCACCGGTTGAGCAGTCCTCAACTTACGACCGGTTGAGTAGTCCTTGACTTACAACTGGTTGGGGGTCGTGGCATTAAAAAGGTTGAGAACCACAGATCTAGCTCATCTTTAATAATACCAGTCCATACCAGTACCCCACCTCCACCTTGCTGGCATCTGAGTCAAAGTGGAGCTCCTACTATCTGCAACAAAATTTTTGATGGTTCTGTCATCCCGCGCCAATATCTTAGCAATTTCAAGAGTGCTGCATCCCTCTGAAAGACTTTTTACAATTTTTGACTTTTCAGAGTCAGTTAAATATCTTTTTTTGGACCATTGCCTGAGGAAAAGAAGCTGCCTAATAATTATGCACAGCTTGATTTATGGTGTTGATCTTGTTAGGTCACACCCTCCCTCATTACACAAATAAACATCACCTGATATGCTTATATCCACTAAACATACAGCTTGAAAGGTAGAAAATATGCATGAAAATGATATGGTCAAAATACTCACTTGCCTAATAATTATGCACACAATGTAGTTTTCTGGAAGAACTACATTTCTTAATCGTGATTTCTTCTATTCAAAAGACCAGAAGTTTAATTTCATACAAGGAGACATTAATGCACATCTATTGTTTCAGAGTTTAACATCAGTTCTCTAGACACTGAAAAAGACTAATATGTATTATAGTTCGATTTACATCTCTTGATGATATATAGGGCACATACTAGTGGAAGATGTACAAGCTTATTTGCCTAAATTCATTATTAAAACTCTGAGAATGACATACATGAATTCATCATGTCAAGGACTAAGTGCTATGTTAGTTGTAGCTCTTTATGACTGCTTTGAATATTTGTTCAGCGTGTGCAATGTGGTGTTGTGTTCATTAGAGATGGATTTTGAATAATGCTCCAGCTGCCTTCCAAATTTGTGCTTTATCTTTGGACATGATGCCTTACAATGATAGAAATAATAATCAACAGAAGAGCACAAATTTCCTCTGCAATGTTTTTCAAAATATTTAATAGTTTTGTCACCGGATATAACAGTTTTACATTTTTTCCATCTAATTGTGCTTCATTTTCTCACTTCATGTTCTCACTGGCAGAACACCTACTTTCTTTCCAGGTACAGAAGATTGAATGTTCTTAATGTATATGCAGTTAAGTCTAAGCAAAACCATGCATACTATCTATTATCTAGCTTCAGAGTATGATTCATATTCCATTTTTATATTATTTTTGGCTGTCCTTGAGAGAGAAAGATGGGCAGGCCAGATTAATACTTAAATGAGACATCACTATGAAATTCCACAGGATGGTATAAGATTTCCTGCCTTGTGTAGGGATTTAAGACTAGAAGACATTCAAAATCCCTTCCAGACCTAGCCTCTATGTCTGTGTCTAGCTGCAAACTACACTAGCAGATTAGGAGCGGATCATATTTATATAATTGCCAGAAAACTAAACTCAGTACGATGGGAAAAAAAACATACAAGATAAAGCAGTGAAGCAAAACAAAACTCACCTATAGTGAATATATGAAGCAAGTCTTATGCAATAAAAAGAAAGGTAACTCAGGGTTAAATTGTAGAGTTCTTGGTGCTGAGCTCGGTTGTTTGCTTGCAGACATTTCATTAGCTAATATTATTAGTGTTAGTGAATGTGGGGTTTGCTCCTTGCTTATATATAATAGTTTTCCCTGCCAGTTTTGGTGGGGTGTTGTTTCTCCTTGGTACTTCCTTAATTAGGCTATTGTCAACACCCAGAAAGCACCAGACAAAAAATATCAAACAGAAAATAAAGCAGGAAGTAATACCAGACAAACAAGCAGAAAACAATACCTTAATCAAGGAACTACTGAGAAGACAACCACTTGCTTACTAACCTGGCAGGGCAAGCTACTGTATATAAACAAGAACAAACCACACACTATTACTGATGATGTTACCTAGCTGGGTAATGAAATGTCTGCAAGAAAACAACCAGCCTCAAACACCAAACACTCCACATGCAGCTATAAAGCATAAGATATACAAATAGTCCTCAACATATGACTATAATGAAGCCTATCCATTACGGGCACATGATAGCCATTAAGTGAGATGGTCTCATTTAATGGCCCATATCCTCTGCTCCCTCTCTCCCTGATAAAGCTGTTAATGTGGATCATTAAGTGGAGCACAGGTGCCTCAGGGGTAAGGGAGGGTTTTCCCTGCCCTCCACCAGGCCCCCTTCCAAGCCAATTGCTCCAGCGGACTGCTCTAGAGCTCGTCCAAAGATGAAGAGTATATGTGGCTTGGTGAGGCAGGAATCAGATTTAAGGCTGGAAGTATCTGGTGGGGATAGGAAGGCCTGTGAGGACCCAGTGGGGGAAAAGGCCTGCAGGGATTCAGTGGAGAAGGTTTGCTAAGACCCAATGGGGGAAGGAAAGGCCAGCTGGGGCCCGGTGTGAGGGGAAAGACCTGCCAGTACACTGTGCGGAGGCAACAAAGCAGGGGGGCAAATAACTGTGGGAGTGCTGCAGCAGTCTTAACTTCAGGACTGAGTTGTAAGTAGTTTTTAGGAGTCTGCTGTAACTTTGAATAGCTGTTAAGCAACCAGTCATAAGTTGAGGACTATCTGTAATCATTTTCATGGACATTGTGAAATATAATCATTTGAATGCCCGTTGAACAGGTTTTTAGTTTTCCTTGGCAAAGATATCTATTGAAATGATTCTTTCTTATCTTAAGAAGCAATTTGCATGCCCTTTTAAATATACATAACCAGTCAAGGTTTCATCAGGCCCCAACATACATTGCAATTCCACAAAATTTGAGGTGTCAAATGACAGAATGAAAGAACTCCTTTAACTACTCTTCTTCTTCTGTGAAGTAGAAAAATATGTCATTTACCAACCAGTAAAAACTCACAAAAAGTCAATCAAGGTCCAAATGACCAAGGTCATTTTTCATATTTCAAGACATTAGGGGAAGATCTAGCTCTCTTGAGAATTTTACAATGTTGGCAGAGACATGATGATGATCAATTGCAAGATGGATGGACTCAATTACAGCAGCAAATGCACCTTTAGAAGGCCTAAAGAACCAGGCTGGGAATGGATTATCTTGGGAAAAATCTATGTAAGTAATGACTAAATATTGACACAAACCTATGGCACATAATTAAAAACACATATAAAGTAAACATATGAAGTAACCATGACAATACAGAAATGAATGCTCACCAGCACAAGTGATAAAGAGATACAGTTTAGAATCATTAAGTGTCTGCTTTCTATTTGCTTTGGTTTTTAAAGTCAAGGTTTGGCTGTTTTATCAGTGCACTAACAATTTTTAAAAGGTGCCTGATTTTATTGAAGAAAGTAAAACATTAAATTGTAAGCAGCAATGAGTTGTTAAAATAAAAGAAATATTTTAGCATTTATGTTAAATATAGAATGAAATTGCTGCAATCAATAGAAATTTAGATAAATAGTCCTTGTTAACAACCAGCTGAATGAGATGTATTTGTGAAGGATTCTCATAGTTACATGATCACAATTTGGGCATTTGACAACTGACTTGGATTTATGAAGGTTGCAGATTGCACATTCACATGATCACCATTTATGGTCTTTACTGCCAGCTTCTGACAAAATCAATGGGGAAGTCAGCAGGAGATTGCAAATAGGGATTGTGGGATGCTGCAACCACTGCAGCCATTAGGATTTACCTAACAACAGTAACTTGGACTGCTGAAACTACCAATAAGTCATACAATGTAATGCTTAGCAACAGAATTGCCAGTCTCAATTACCATTGTTAAGCTAGGACTACCTGTAACGTACCACAGTTCAGTGTGAAATGATATGGATGAGGCAGTTTTGTACATTACCAAAGCAGGCTTACTGTCAGAAAGTTGCCAAACTGGAATACTAAATCACACTGAAAGAGAATTCTGGACCATTTGTAAATGCTGCAGACATCAGTAGTTTATTAGTATGTTTAGTCAAAACACATTCAAAAATGAAAACTTAAAAGTAAATATTTTCCACCTGCAACAATTAAACTAGGTTCTACTAGCATATAATGCTCAACACATTACAGCAATAAAGATGGTAGTCCATTGTTTGCATACCTACTAAAGCCAAAAGATAATTAAAGCAAGTTTGTTGACATAGGACTGTAACAATAGCAATATTACCTATATCAACAAATAAGCAATAAAATAGGTCAAAGAGATCTGTTCTTTTCTTCTAGAGGTACATTTATTGAAAAGAGGGACAAGAACACTATGTTTCCATCATAAAGTAGGTGAACAATCACCATGTAAATGTCTGTGTATGCTTCCAATAGTTAGTTCATAGCATTTAAAGAAGCAAACTGGAAAACTCAATAGCTCAGTAGCTCCTCTAATTGTCATTTTTTAATTATTATTCCATTGGTGCTGCTTGCCTTAACATTTTTTACAGGAAATGGTAGGGCAATATTATAGCACTAAAAAGCCAAATAACATAAATACTGATATATTGGTATGTAACTGCTTGTTGAGAAAAGCAGTTTAAAAAAAAGCTTTCCAATTCGATATGGTTCATGGAGAAGCATTCAAGTACTACATATCCAGGTATCATCTGAAAATGAAACAATTCAACGCAACCCCCTCCCCCCACATAAACATGGAAAGAGAAAAATGTACCCCAGAAAGTGTATGAAAATAGTGCAAGACTTACCATCAAACATGGAAGATCTCAATTTGGGGAGTAAAAAACAATATAAACTTACTCCATCCCCAACATATAGGCAAAATTTTCCACAGTTTTAGGAAACAACAAATGGTTAGTTTCACCAAATGCTTCTTGCATTACATGTTTTTGTTACATAATAGCATATGAGGTCTTCCATGTTTAGAGCAGCTCTGAACGGTCACAAGCTTTGTCTCCCCTCTTCAAGAGTAAGCCTGAGGGTTTGTTGAACTGTCTAGCTGAAGCTGGGGAGTACTGTTGCTACCTCTACAGTTTTCTGGAATGTGCTCTCTACGCAAACAGGAACTGGAAATGGCAAACCTCTCACCCAAGCGCAAGATGCTCTACCAAGTCCAAATACATAAAAAGAGAGATCTTCCCTCTATATACAAATCTGAGCCTTGTAGGCAAAGTCACTTCAGAGTTTGTGCAAAATGGGTGATAGTTCAAAAATTGAAAGTAGCAAGTATTTGAGCTATTTCCCTGCTCTATGAAAATTGCAGTATCCTTGAGTGTAACAAGTTGTATGTTAAATATGTTACCTGGAGTATACTTAAAACAAAAAAAAAACCCCCACTTGATTAACTTTGGACTTATCTATGCAAAAGGAATACTCAATTTCATAACCAATTTTTCGTTTTTAAAAAGTATCTACTACTTAATACCTTTTTTGTTCAAAGGCTTCAAAAACTTAACTATAGAGCTAGGGAAGTAATATTCCAGTAGCCTTTACTGATTTAAAGATACTGCAATTTTATACAATGATTTTATAAACATTTTTACAGCTGTTAAAGTTTTGCAGCACAGCCATTCATACACTATACTGTACAAAATCACCAGCAAGACTGGAATGATGTATTTAATAGAAGGCACCATCATGCTTATTACATTACCAGAGACCTCAATACAGTAAAGACAATTTTTCACTGTACACTGCTTACAGAACGGGAAAAGGTAAGAGGAGTGTGTTGAGCAATCAGCCATCCCCATCTACAGAGAGGCAGAAAGCTCATAAGACTTTTAAAAAAGAAAAAAAAAACTATGATTTTTGAAGTTTTACATTTGTGTTTATAGCTAAATGGTTTCCTTCTGGAACATATTTTTAGTCTTGTTAAGGTTTATGTATACATATATTGGTCACAGCAAACAGAGCAGATGCCCGCATCGTTTCACAAGCTATTATTTTTCCTTGCTGCTTTCAGCAGATGTCAATGTAAAATGAGGCAGGTACCCATTAGTGCGTTTAAAGTTCACAAAACATGAGTTGTTTGGAGTCAAGAGTTCTAAAAGAAAAAAAAAAGGGGGGGCAAGCTTTTCCAATTCAAAGATTGCACTATTTGTATTTCCAACAGTAACACTTAAACAAAATGTGCAGCAGAAGGATTTTAACACACCCGAAAGACCTTAACTCAATTAGGCATACCCTTTGTCCTTTATTGTTGCTGCAGAAAGTTTAAATGATCATTTCTCATTCCCTAATCTTCAAGTCTAATTTATAAATTAACATTATGACTTCGTCATGAAATTAGGAAAAGAATGTCCACCACAATTTACCTGGTGATCAAAAGATGTTTTTCACATCAAAGAAATGATAAAAAAAGGCTGTGTTACATTCCAAAGCCAGAAAATTAACAAAAATGCAAACATGACGAATAATGTATCACTGTCAAGACTGCCTGCCAACAATGAATCTTCAGCGACGTTGACCTGTGAACCGGCCTTCCATCTGCCCAGTTCCTCTTCCAGAGCCAAGCTTCTGGGCCATGGCCCCTCTCAGGGGTGGTCCTCTGCCTTCACGGTCTCGCATCATTCCACCACCCACTATGCCTCGTGAACCCCCAGGACCTCTGTCACTGCGTCGAATATCCTTGCGATCATCACCACCACCTCGAGTTTCTCTTTCACGAGCAGCTCTGGTCTTTTTTTCTTCTACGTTCAAACGCACCTCACCACGGAACATTATGGGCTTTTAAATGAAGAGGAAGGGAACAATGGTAATACCAAAAGTTTAGTTAGCTGAATATCCAAAAGACACAGGCCAATAATACTTTACATGAAAAACATGTTCTAGCTCAAAATTTATTAATGCCATATTCAGCTAAACTTCAAATAATGGATCTAGGAAAACATTCTCTCTGTCCTGCAATTAATTATTGACTGATTGATTTATACCACATCTTGTATTAAATAGCTTTCCTCCTATTTTTCCAGACAACCACTCCATGAGGTAAGGTTGCCAAAGGAAACTTAACTGACTCAAAGATACTTAAGGAATTTCTATGGCTAAGAGTGGATTGAAGCCTAAGGTTACCCAGTTCTAATCCTATATCGTATATCACTAAACCACACCAATTATCTCATTGGATAATTATCAGATGGAAGAGGCAATACTGGGGTAGATGGCCATTGTGGAAAAAAATATATTTTTTAAGTATTCACAGATATCAGTGATTTCTTAGAATTTAGTTGTTTTCAATTTTCAGAATCAGAAGGAAATCCATCCAAGCGGATGTATTTCTCAGAGACTATCCCAACCAGAAAATCCTAACTTTATTTCTAATATATATCTAGTAAGTGTTTTAAGGGATAGAGTAGGAGCTTCAATATTTTTTTAAAGAATGTATTCTGATTATATTAACACAGCTGGCATTATTTGTGACCTATATTCCAAACAGCAATTTAAAAAATCACTGCAACATAGTGGAAATCTCAAATCAGTTGAGATTTCATTATTTCCTACATTGACCCATTCCACTTAAACTGACCATTGTAAGAGATTTGTAACTAAGACGTAGAGCATAGATTTGCTTGCTTCAATGTCATACATCCTTTTATTCTTCATCATTGAAATCCTACAAGCAATTTTTAAACTTAAGTGCCAAGCTTGTTGTGCCATCGTTGATAAAGATGAAGTATATATTTATATTTGAATATCAGATATAATTACAAATAATTCTGGAAGCATGCTAAATGCGTATACAAAGCCCTTATTTTTATTTTTAATTAACAGCTGTGTGCTTAGGTTTATCTCATTTTATTGCAATTCAATGCTTTCTATAGTAGATATTTAAGGTAAACAAAATAGTAGTGCTAGTAGTCACAATTAAATCTGAGATCTCCTTCAATTTGCAGTGCCAAGCCTTCTTTCAATTGATGGTCTTTACTGAGAGATGAGGGCAATCCCATGTTTCAAGAAAATTATTTTCCAAATGTATAATTCTATATAATGTGATAGGATAGCTATTTATTTATTTTTGCAATAAATATACAACAGAAGCAGATGAAGGTCATCTAAAAAGAACTTTAGAAAGAATGTATATTTCTTACTACAACAGGATGATGTAAGAAAAGTAATCTAGATTATTGGATAAAAATTAGAGCTGCCCTACACTTCTAATAGAATGAGTAACTTACTATAGTTGACTTTATTATTTGACTCTGCAGACAGACATTACTTTAGAACTTTTCTCACATAAAATATTTTCTACTAACAAAGAACAAAGGAGCCCAAGAAGAGAATTTCCTGAGAATAGATATTTCACTATTTTTTGTTCATCTAAAGAAATCTATTAATACAAGATCAAATTTCAGAAGTGATTTAAACTAAATTCAGTCTGGTAATCACTACGCAGTGATTATAGTCAAGTTACTTACTTTAGCCAATAAAATTTTCTGAACTGGTTCAGAGTCATCAAACACCACAAAGCCAAAGTTTGGAAGTTTTCCTCCAACACCTTTTGTATTGATACGAAGTTCCACAACATTCCCAAAACCTGTAAAAGTACAACGCAGGTGGTTAGGAAAAATGCATCACTTGGATTAAACAGAAATGACATGTTGCTTATAGAAGCAGTTTAATATTTGAAGTATAACAGGACTTAAAAAAAATATGGAGTTTTCTCTCCACTAAGCTCCATAGTAAAGTAAAAGAGAAATTACTTACTCATAAAAAACTCTTTCAGTTCATTTTCATCAATGTCATGTGGCAGATTGCCAACAAAGAGCTGGTGGCTATCAGGATATCGAATTATTCGACGACTATCTGACTCATTTTGATCCATATCCCCCCGGGCTATAGTAATTAAACATGAAAAATTAATGTAAAATCATATCTTTTAACAAGCATACAAAATGGCAATTTTATATTGGTATTTCAATAATATAATCCTTGTTTTAGACTCAAAAAAAGTTTTAGGAAAACTTGTGATAATCTCAGGAGACAATAGTAATGAAGATAAAATTTTACTGGTTTTATAATAAATTTAAATCTATTCAAAACAATTGCTCCACCAGCAATCAGCACCCAGATCAGCCTAATTAACTCCAAAATTAACATCAGACCAACAATCAAGTAAACAATATCCCAATCAAGAAACTACCAATGAAGCTAACAGTAAACAGCCCAATCAAAGAATCTCTAAGACCATCCCTACCAGCACTGTCAGGGCAAGCCACTAGAATATTAACTGACAGCAAACCGCACTTCTTACTAGCACTTATACTGTTACCTAGTTTCAGTAATAAAACGTCTGCAAGAAAACAAGCAAGATCAGAGACGACCAAGGACCCCTCATATTAACGCTGAGCTACAAATATTATCCTCTTTCGATATCCAAAACAATCCAGTAACATTGTAAAAGAATTCTGTATGCTTCTTTTTGTTCTATTTAGCAATTGTATTAAGCTTGTAGATAGAATCACCCATGAAGTTGCAAGAAATAAAATGCCACAGAAGAGGAAAAAAAACCAGGAAAACATTGGAAGAGGATTGCTCTTATTTCCTTTTTGGCAGCAGAACACTACACATACTCACTCAAAGTAAGGGCTTATTACCAGACACAGCATATGTGGCTAGATCTTTTTGGTTGCAAAGAAGCTTATGGTTGGATAGGGAAATAACTGGCTTTACAACTCCCAACAACAATTACTAATAGAACAGAAAAAAATATTTCAAGCTCTGGAGAGCTGCTGCCTGTAAATGTCGTCAATACTGGATGAGATGGACCAATAGCCAAATCAGGAAACAAGATTCTGTGAGTATCCATTTCAAATCCTATTGGCCATGATTCAAATAGCTACTTTAGTAGCACCCAAAACTGACAGCCTATAAAAAGTTTAGCATCCATTTATTTAAAATGGATTTATTTGCTTAAATGCATTGTTAGTCTACAACAGTTAAATAGGAAGTGTAATTTATATACAAGGATATGGAGAATACAAATGAAAATATGTTTGCCCAATTTCTGCTAAATTTCTATTTTACAGGAACTGTTTAGTTCTTATAATTGTAATCTTAAAATTAAACATCTGGGCAATGATTCCTGATTTTTGGAGGATAGAATGATTTTCACTGGAAGTAGATTGAGGAGGGTAGACTTTCATAATTCTTGTCTCTTTCATAACTGTCACTGCCAGAATCATGTAAAATCCAAAACAAAAAATATTATATTTTTAACCATACACAGCTTTTTGTAAGCATATAGTGCATATAATCACTGTGAGCCTACCCTGGAATTTTTTATAAAGATGTTTTAAGTTTAGTTACGGAATATATTCTGTAAAAACTATGTTTAATGTAAAAAATATAATACTGTTATTCATTTTGTTACCAATGAAAAATAAAATATGTTACTAATAAAAGTCATTACTACAAAAACATCTTAGCTAGCTACTGGGTGCAGTCTATTTAACTGCACTTTTTTCTTTGATCCAGAAATTTTTTTATAAACCTAAAACATATTTTATCTGCTATTGGAGATTTTTATTGCAATTTTACTTAGCCTCACAAGCTGCTGCTTATGCGCTTTAATTATACAAAGGACCATAAAACAATATTCCCTAATATTTCAAAAAGTGAATTGTTCCTTTTTCTTACATTTTTACCTCATTTTTATTATTTTTATGAATAGCTCAAAGTGGCAAACATAACTAATAGTCCTTCCTCCTCCTAGTTTTCCTATTTTCTCCACAGCAACAACATGAAGTAAACTGGACTGAGAGAGAAAGTGACTGACCCATAGTCACTCAGCTGGCTTTCAGACGTAAGACAGGACTAGAACATCTTCTGATATCCAGTCTGGCACTTTAACCAGTATACCAAACAGGCTCCTAACTGTTCCAGTAAATATAGACATAGTTAATGAACGTATTTGTTCCATATATTTATGCAGGATAATTCTGGGCACTTCATTTAGCATTAATACAATTTCAACTGTCAATTTCATTTGATTGCTAATGCAAGTTTGTTTCTCAGAAACATTATTTAAGGCTCTATCCAGTTGTTGTATAAGATTATAAATCTGAACTATGTTCACAAAGGAATTTTTAAAAGAGCAAGGAGCTCAAATTTTTAGTATACGTAGTCCTCATTATTGACCAAAACTGGGACTGGCAACTTGGTCATTAAGCAAAGCAGTTGCTAAATAAAAGCATCACTATGCTTGTATTCTTATTTCAGCTTTCCATTGTTTTATAGACCTGCAAAGATTGTAAATGCAAGGACAGGTAAAGTTATTTTTTCATTACTGTTGTAACTGTGAACTGTTGTTAAATGAAGCAGTCACTAAACAAGGACTTCCTATATTATCACTAGATGTGAAAAATCATTACATTTGCTAGAGTAGGCTCACTTAAAAGTCCTGTTTACATGGAAAAGCTTTATTCGAGAAGTAAAAATTTGTAATAGTTTCATTTTAAAATGTTTCATGAATGAAATTTCATGAAACATCTGGGACAAATTATCTGGGACAAATCAATGTCTTGAGTGCAAAGTGTTCTGGAGGAACTACGAACATGATGTAACACATATTAAGCTTGGAATGCTTCTCAAATGCATGAAACAAATCGTCTGATACTCAAAACACTGATTCTATCTTCAGATTTTAAGTTTCATAAAATTATGAATTGAAAGTGAAATTAAAAGTTGAAAAGTGTTTTGCATAGCCCTATTTATTTTCTTATCCAGCCTACTTATTTACTTAATAATATTTTCCTTTATATTCTATCATGGAATTCAAAATGGCACATTTAGTTCATCCATCCATGAACATTTCCTACCCTACCTAATTTTAAAAGGCATTTCTATCTTATAATAGTAGTAGTAAAGTTGGAAGGGACCTTGGAGGTCATCTAGTCCAACCCCCTGCTCAGGCAGGAAACCCTACACCATTTCGGACAAATGGCTGTCCAGTCTCTTCTTAAAAACTTCCAGTGTTGGAGCATTTACTGCTTCTGGAGGCAAGCTGTTCCACTGATTAATTGTTCTCACTGTCAGGAAGTTTCTCCTTAGTTCTAGGTTGCTTCTCTCCTTGATTAGTTTCCACCCGTTGCTTCTTGTCCTGCCTTCAGGTGCTTTGGAAAATAGCTTAATTCCCTCTTCTTTATGGCAGCCCTGAGATATTGGAATACTGCTATCATGTCCCCCCTTGTCCTTCTCTTCGTTAAACTAGACATACCCAATTCTAGCAACCGTTCCTTATATGTTTTAGCCTCCAGTCCCCTAATCATCTTTGTTGCTCTTCTCTGTACTCTTTCTAGAGTCTCAACATCTTTTTTACATCGTGGTGACCAAAACTGGATGCAGTATTCCAAGTGTGGCCTTACCAAGGCATTGAAGAGTGGTATTAATACTTCACGTGATCTTGATTCTATCCCTCTGTTAATGCAGCCTAGCACTGTGTTGGCCTTTTTGGCAGCTGCAGCACACTGCTGGCTCATATTTAAGTGATTGTCTACTAGGACTCCGAGGTCCCTCTCACAGTTACTACTATTGAGCATGGTGCCACCTATGCTGTACTTGTGCATTTGGTTTTTCTTGCCTAAATGTAGAACCTTGCTTTTTTCACCATTGAATTTCATTTTGTTAGTTAGTGCCCAGTGTTCAAGTCTGTCCAGATCCTTCTGTACCTGAAGCCTGTCTTCTGGAGTGTTGGCTATTCCTGCCAGCTTGGTGTCATCTGCAAATTTGATGAGTTCCCCATCTATCCCTTCATCCAAATCGTTGATGAAGATGTTGAAGAGTACTGGGCCCAGAACAGAGCCCTGGGGCACCCCACTACACACTTCCCTCCATATAGATGCAGTTCCATTGAGGACCACTCGCTGAGTACGGCCGGTCAGCCAGCTACGGATCCATCTGGTGGTGGTTCTGTCTACCCCACATTTTTCTATCTTGTCAAGTAGTAGGTTGTGATCTACTTTATCAAATGCCTTACTGAAGTCCAAGTAAATTATGTCCACAGCATTCCTCTGATCCACTAATTTTGTCACTTGGTCAAAGAATGCAATAAGATTTGTCTGGCATGATCTATTTTTGACAAACCCATGTTGGCTTTTAGTAATGACTTTGTTTGCCTCTAGGTGTTCGTTGATTCGTTGTTTGATTATCTTTTCCAGGATCTTCCCAGGTATTGAGGTCAGGCTGATAGGTCTGTAATTTCCTGGATCCATTTTTTTTCCTTTTTTGAGGATGGGAATTACATCAGCTCTTTTCCAGTCCTCTGGTAGTTCCCCTGTGTTCCAGGATCTTTGAAAAATATAGTTCAGTGGCTCCGATATCACATCTGCCAGTTCCTTGAGAACTCTGGGATGTAATCCATCTGGTCCTGGCGATTTGAACTCATCTAGGCTGGACAGGTGCTCACTAACCATTTTCTTGCCTATCTTAATTTGTGTTTCTGTTTTGTTTTTTATGGCACTATTTTTGATAGGTTGGTCTGTTTTTTCCCTTTGTGTAAAGACAGATGCAAAAAATGAGTTAAATAGTTCTGCTTTCTCCCTGTTGCTTGTCACCTTCTTGCCACTTCCACCCACTAATGGACCAATCATTTCCTTCACTTTTTTCTTGTTTTTTACATGTTGAAAGAAGCTTTTTTGTTATTTTTGACTTTGGTCGCAAGCCTTAGTTCATTTTGAGCCTTGGCTTTCTTCACTTCATCTTTGCAGGCTCGGGCTATTTGCTGATATTCTGACTTAGTTATGTTCCCCTCTTTCCACTTTCTGTACTTGTCCTTTTTATCTTTCAATTTGTCAGAGAGTTCTTTATGCAGCCATGCTGGTTTCTTTTGAGAGCTGTTATTTTTCCTCTTTGTTGGTATTGTGCTAGACTGTGCTTTTATTATCTCATTTTTCAAAATTTCCCAAGCTTCTTGAGTTGTTTTCCCCTTGAGGATTCTCATCCATGGAATCCTTCCCAAGCCCTCTCTAAGTTTATTGAAATTAGCTCTCTTGAAGTCCAAGACTCTAGTTTGACTGTGTTCTATTGGTTGTGCTTCTATAATGTTGAATTCTAATATTGCATGATCACTTCCTCCCAGGGTTCCTATGGCTTCAACACCGTCTATCATTTCATCTCTGTTAGTGAGAATTAGATCCAAAATGGCTAATCCCCTAGTTCCCTTCTCTACTTTTTGGGAGACAAAGTTGTCTGCTAGGTTTGCCAGGAACCTGTTTGATCTTCCACTTGGTGCGGAGTTTGTCTCCCAGTTGATGTCAGGGTAGTTAAAGTCCCCCATTACTATTGTGGTGTGCTTCCTACATACCTTAGTTAGCTGACTAGCAAAAAGTTCATCTATTTCCTCTGTTTGGTTGGGTGGTCTGTAGTATACACCTATGGCAATGTCATTTCCCCCCCCTTTTATATTGACCCAAATGCATTCAAGACAGTTTTTATCATTGTTGTACTCTATTTCTGTGAAGATGTAGTTATTTCTTATATAGAGAGCAACTCCACCTCCTCTTTTATTTGGTCTGTTTCTTTTAAATAATTTAAATCCCTCTAGCTGTGTGTTCCATGTGTGAGTTTCATCCCACCATGTTTCCGTAATGGCAACAATATCGTATCTGCCCTCGTTAACCTGAATTTCTAGTTCACCCTGTTTGCTGTTCATACTCTGTGCATTGGTGTATAAACATTTGAGTCCTTTGTGGGTGGCCCTGTGTTTCCTTTCTACATAACCTGTGTGGTGCCTGAGTTCCCCTATTGTCTTACCACCTATTTGGTTAGTGCACTTTATGTGGCACTCGCTATTAGAGGCTTCATTTTGATTGGTAGCAAGGTTGGTATTCTTGTCCACACACACATCTATGCTACATGCACTGATAGCCCTATAGTTTTTAAATTGCCGGGGACAGGGTTGTTCCGTATCAATTAACTCCCTGTCCCCGCTGTTTAGTTTAAATTTCCCTCCAGAAAATCTGTGAATTTATAGCTGAGTAACTCAGTCCCTTTTTTTGATGGATGCAAACCATCTCTTTTGTACATCTTTTGATTGGACCAGCTACTGACATCGTGACTAATATATCCGAAGCCTTCCCCTTTACACCACTCCTTTAGCCACATATTGAATTGTGCTATGCGCTGGCCTTTTCCGTTTTGCTCCTTATACACTGGTAAAACCTCTGAGAAAGTAAGCCTACAGCCTATTCTGCTAAGTTCCTTCCCCAAGCTCTGGAAATCATTCTGCACAGAGAGTACATCTTTTTGGGACAGATCATTAGTGCCAAGATGTACAATAGCCTCCACATCACAGTCCTTGCTGCCATTCTTGATTATTTTAGAAATACGCTTCTTGTCCCTACTGGCAGTAGCACCTGGAAGACACCTGACCTCTTTCAAAGCCTCTGTATCCTTTCCTAAATTTACATCCCTTATAATTGAATCACCTACCAGAAGGTAGCTTCTCTTTTTGGGAGCCTTTCTATTCTTGCATGACTGATGTGCAATACCTGATGTGCAATACCTGATCTTCTCCTATGTATACTTTTTTTACCTGCATGTATTAAGTCTATAATTTCTAAGTGAAAATTCACATCTTGATCTTTATGGAAATCCAGGAAAATTCACAACAAATTGAAAGAATACCTGGCCTGGGTCCCCTTGATGGAAAACCTGGCCGCTCCCTTGGACGCTGTTCACGAACACGAGGTGATTGAGACTGGTTTTCAGATTTTGTTTCAACTCTTTGCTGAAAAATTAGTAAAATTTAAGATAACAAAATCCAAAATAACATGAGCATTGTGTATTTATTTGGTAATACAACCCCCCCCACACCTTATTCACCATTTATTTTCAATAATTATATAGCTTGTTGCTCTATCAGCAAAGAAAATCACAAACAAAATATTGGTAAACCACATCTAATGTATATTTTATTGATATTGATTGGAACTGAAATATTAGCCTTATGAGAGATTTTTTTAGCTCTTTTCCATTATTGCCCACTAGTTTGCCCTATAGGCAAGTAGTTATGAAGCACTGTTTTCAGAAGGAAAATATTCATCCTCCTGCATATGCACAAGACCTATAGCAGATGGGTATAGGAGGTATTCACAATCATACATTTTTTTCAGTCCAGAATGATCTGAAACTTTTTAAGCCACATCAAGTATCACAAAGGCAAGTAACCAATATAAAAATAGTGAAAAGCAATTGCATTACATTAGAATCAAGTTAAAGCCAACCAGATGGAATGGGAACTTCTTCAAATATTATGGAGGAGGAGAAATTTCAGAAGTTGGGAGTATTTTCTTTCTTATCCGCCTGCTAATAAATCTGGAATTTTATAGCTGCAAATATCTTCTTTCTAAAAATCCTTAAGTTGAGGATGAGCAGGGATTTCTTTTTTCTAATCTCATAGCATATTATTTCTTCTCTTTTGGGATATTTACTTTAAACAATTAGACCACTGATCAAGAAACTTGTATGCCTCAGGTCATCCAGGCACTTGCATTATTTGTTAAAAAGAATACTCTATATTTCCACCATGTACAATTACCTTGCTCTTAGGATACATTAATTTTCAGATCACACAGGGCATATCATACAGGTAGTCCTCAATTTACAACCATAATGGAGCCTGCTATGATTATTATGAAGCAGTTTGCCAAATGCCTGGACATGTTTTTACTTTTATGGAAATCCTAAAGCGAACACTGTAATTGCACTGTAATGGTTGCTTAGTGACTATTCATATGTTGAAGACTATCTGTACATTATACCAGAGTTTCACAACCTTTCCGGCTTTGTGGATTGATAGGGAGGGGATGGTTCCGTGTGAATGGTGGGCAAGTATGCACCCAGCTCCATTTGCGTGAGTTGTGGAAAGGCATGCCTGCCACTTGTGCAAATGGAGCACACAAGCATGCGTTTGCCCACTGCTCATGCAAGTAAGGATGCACGTGAATGCATGCTTGCCACTTCCATGGCCCAGTTCCGAATGTCTCAAGGCCCCAGAGTAGGCTGTGGCCTGGGGTTAGGGATCCCTGCATTATACATAATATTCAATGCAAATCATTGAGATTCTCATACAATAACATAGCTGCATAAAGAATATATACACATCCATGTCTTAGATTAGTAATAGATTGTTTAGATACCAGTGAAATGTTGTTTACTATATAAATTAGTAAAAATCCTAAGTCATCAAACAGAAACAACTCATTGGTACAAACATTACCTGTAACATACAATACAACCAGAAGTAGTCTAAATTCTAAATCTAGGCTTGCCAATGGCCATTTGTCCCTCTTCCTGAAAATGACCAAACCTGCACAACCTAAGACATCCACAGATTGGTTACCTGTGAGACTTGTGCTTTAACATGACTTGGAATTCCAGAAGAAGAAATAGTACCACTAGGAGGCAGATTTTTACTGGTCACTGAAGCCCAGGAGAAAGCCTACAGGAAATGCAATAAACTTGGTCTACTGATTATGGCAAACTATTGGCATTCCTTAAGTAAAATCTGGATTATGAAAACATTCCTATTCTAATCCACAACTGACAGAATTAATGAGAACATTGTATTTTGAATCTATTTGCTGTGCAAGTTAAACAAGCACCATGCTTAGGTTCATTGCATAAGGTTACAAATGCTCTTACTAACACATGCTGATGTCAATTATTCAATTACTTTTATGTTTTTTTAAGTAATACAGATATAATATTCTCACATTTAAAAATATGAAAAATATGATGGGAATAACATTTTCTCAATCCCTTCCCTTCCTGAACTGAAAACAAACTTGCTTTCAGGATAATTATCAGCGCCTGAATTAATATAAGCAAAATTATTCAGGAACTTTTTTCAGTAACAGGAAACTTTAGAAAGATATTATTTTCAGCTTTTTCTTAATACCTATGTAACATTTATAGCACAAACAATTTATGAGCTGATTTTTCACTAAACAATCTACCTGAAGATACAGTATCAGGGGAAAAAAATGTTGTATATCATCAACAGCAATGTTTTTCAATCTTGACAACTTTGAATTGCATGGACTTGAACTCCAAGAATTCCTCAGCCACCAATGCTTAAGATATTAAGCATAAAATTGCCAAGCTGAGAAACACTGATCTAAACTAACATATTGTGACATGTCGAACTTCAAGGACTTTGAGAAATCTGTTGTGATACCCTGGCTTTAGAATGCTCCTGCCTGAGGGCAAAGATGAAATCAAAATATCTGATTTTTACTACTAAATGAAAACCTTCTTTTTACTCTTGTACTTGTGACTTCATGTCCAAAGCTTATTATATTTCTTAGGTACCTATGTTAGTGTCACATTTATTATCTGGTATTCTATATTATTTCATTGTTTATTGTGTTTTTGAATTGGTTTGGCTTTTTTTTTTACAGACTATTATTTCAACCCAAAATAATCTGGAGAATGAGTAGGACCCGAAATAATTTAAACGAATAAATTTAAATAAAAGTATTATTAATTATTGTCAATCAAATCTGAAATTCAAATTAGAAGAGATCCTGGGCTAACATTAAAGTTAACTTTGGTTAACATTAGATCCAATAAAATGCTTAAGTGTAGCTAAATTCACTAATGCAAAGTTGTATTGACGGTACACTCCTGATGTTTTACCCTTCTTTAAGACAGCAAGAATATTATGTGTGTACCAGAAAAAAAATATAGTATGTAATCTTCAATTATCAAAACCAAGATGCAGGTATTTAAGAATTTAAGGACTGTGTATAAAGTTCTTAATGTTTTCCTGCAGACTGCAAAGCCAAACAGGCAAAGTACTACAACTATCACTCAGTAATAAGGGATTAACTATTAGGACTGGATTATTTCAAATTAAATTAGTGAAAAATATGAAGTAATTATGATTACGATAAAAGCACAAATACTATATTCTAACAATGTTTAAATATTGCAGTACTAAATAATACTCCACATACTTATGAACCTCTATCAATTATATGTATGTATCTTTTGGATTTAGATAGTATGTAATTATAATATCTGTACATACTGGACAACTGGAATATAGTTGACACACTAAATTATTAGCACAAGTTATATTCTCTTTAGGTCTACATGTGATTAAAAATATTTAGAGCACCCTCGTGATCAAGAGTTTGCTATCAGGTTCTATTTAACTACACAAAGCATATTAACTTAACCAACCTTTGGTGGTTCCTGTGGTAGAGAAACAGTTTCTACAGGAGGTGGGGATGGAGATTTTTCTTCTACTTCTTCAAGTTTTTTTTCTTCCACTTCAGTTTTTAGTTCTTCAGTTTTTGATTCAGATTCTAACTCTGGTTCAGGTTCATGAGAAGACTCTTCCAATGTTTCTTCTATTCCATTACTAGAATAATCACATATTTTACTGTTTCTATTAATGTAAATTATTAGTATTATTCAATTTTCAGAAAAAATCGTACTACTACAATTTACTATACAATTGTTATATATATGTATCTTATGCATCATTTAGTTTTACCTGAACTCCTTTTGTTGATGCCCTATTTAAAAGTCTTTTTTTTAAGATGCAGAAGTCGTTAGTATTTTGAGATAGATGGACATTTCTAGATTTTTGTATGAGAAAGTGGCTTTTATAGTGAATCTAGCAATTCAGAAAACATCTATCACCCTTTCTAGCCACCTAGAACAACCAAGATGTTTTGCCTTTGCAGGTCCATTTACTCCATAAAAACCGCTGAGCTGCAGGCATCCATGACTTTACTGTCTAAGTATGCCTTGGACAGAGTACAGGTAGTCCTCAAATTATAACCATTCATCTAGAGACTGTTCGAAGTTACAACAATACTGGAAAAAAAATGACTCATGACTCATGATTTTTCACATTTACGATCACTGTAGCATCTCCATTGTCACATGATCAAAATGTGGGCACATGGCAACTGCTATGTATTTATGATAGTTGAACTGTCCTGGAATCATGTGTTCTCTACTTGTAACCTTCCTAGCTGGCTTCCTGCAAGCAAAATTAATGGAAGAAACCACATTTGCTTAATGACCGCGATTCACTTAACTTATTAGTAGCAAAAAGGTCATAAAATGGTGTGGAACTCATTTAACAACTACCTTGCTTGGCAATTTTGGGCTTAATTGTAGTCATGTCAAGGACTACCTGTATTTGACACCAAAGGGATGCTTCACACCAAAAAACATTAATGAAGCTTGAAACTGAGTTCTTTATAGCAACTAACTTTCCATTTATTTTAGTTGAAAATATATCAACAATAAGTCTGGTAGAGAAGGACATTGGTTGGGCCTAAGGGCATCTGACAGGGTACATCACTCCTATATTGGGGATCTAGGCTACAACAAAGCAAAATAAGCAAACAAACAATGGTAATTATCTCTTGTACATTTAGAAAACTCATCAGGAAAGTGCTTCGTAAGAATGGTTGGTCATTTTAATACTGCCTGCTGCACTGAAAACACACTAGCATTTTCTATTTTTATATACAAACCCCTTACACAGAACTTTAATACAAAATAAACATCTTAAATCAGTGGTTCTCAACCTGTGGGTCGGGACCCCATTTGGGGTCGAATGACCATTTCACGGGGGTCGCCAAACCACGCTATCCGCCATTTTTTCCCCTTTTCCCTAGCTGTCCTACTCCCTCTTATTGGTGGCCACACCCACTTGGGGGTCACCACAACATGGGGAACTGTGTTATGGGGTCACGGCATTAGAAAGGTTGAGAACCACTGTCTTAAATGATTTCGACTTCTGTTTATAGTAGAAGTTATAATGATCACTAAAGAAAACCTTAACCTCATGATATTCTAAGTAATTCATCAGTACTTAACCACATAATTAACTGCCTGTATCAAAAATTGTAAAAAACATGAACAAAGTTTCATTTCCTTTGGATTACAAGTTCTCATAACTTATTTTATTATGGGTTAAGGATAAAGACATTAACATGCAGATTCATGGATTTTCAGACTGTCTGCAACACAAGCATGGATAATTATCTTACGTTACAGGATGACTATCATAGTAAGTACTGCTTGTATTTTCTTGTACAGGTTCAGGTGATGTTTGCCTTTCTTCATTCTCCTCTTCTACTTCATCTTCTGATTCTAAAATATAATTCATAATTCATAAAAGTGCAATATCTGCCACAGTAATATTTTATATTTTCAATTTTACTGAAAATGAAAGGGAACATGTTTATTCCAGGAATTCAGATGCATTATAATAAATTTCAGTTTCCATAAAGCCAAATGCCATAAAATTTGTAGATATAATCTAATAAATTATCTTGGCTTTATATAAGTATTCCAAATTCTGTCATCTTTTTCCTTTTTGAGATAGCTGTTTTCAGTTATTTGCAAATGCATTAATTATTGTAGACTCCTATCTTCATTAAGCAATTCTCATTATGCCTTCAATCTATTTCTTGATAATACAGGTAGACCAATTAAACTCAAAATTTCTGTTGCTAAGTGAAACATTTGTTAAGTGAAATTTGTCCCATTTTACAACTTTTCTTGCCACATTTGTTAAGAGAATCATTGCAGTTATTAAGTTAGTATCATGGTTGTTAAGCAAATCTGGCTTCCTCAATGACTTTGCTTGTCAGATTACAAAAGGGAAACTGCAACCATCATGAATATGAGTCAGTTGCTAAGCATCTGAATTTTGATCATGTGACCGTGGAAATGCTGCAATGGTCATATTAACTTTTTTCAGTGCTATTGTAACTTCAAATGATCACTAAATGAATGATTGTAAGTTGAGGACTATCTATATAAAAACATTCATATTTAAAAATTATTATAGAAAGCACAAGAGAAGATGCTGTTAGCTACAGTAAGGAGAAATTGTAAGATTTTTTTTGGTTCCCTAGTACCCCCAGATGTGAATGGATAGCCAGCTTTTGAAGGACCTGAGGAATGTTAAGAAGGATGGAGTTAACCTCACACAAGCAGAGAAGATTCTATAAGGTAGACCAACCTAGTGTAGTCTGGATGGAAGGGACGTACAGCATATCTTCTTTACCAGATTTTATAGTTTTTAAAAACTAACTTTCTCCTATATTATATTCCTTCTGATCCTTATTTTCTTTGGTTTCTTTATCCCATAAATATCTATGAAGTCCATTGGCTAAGCCCGCTCCTTCTAGAGTGGATATTCTGCTGTTACGAAATTTTATCCAATCTATTATTTGAAATAGGAAATTTATTTCTGTAAGACATCAATTTTTATTATCACAATAAATCCTTTCCAGGAAAGTTGTAAGTTTTTTCACCTTTTAAAATTTATTTCTCTGATTTGTTGGATTATTCTGAAATATGTCTTTATTGCATCCTGCCAGGTAAAAACATATTTTTTTCATTAGCTCTTTTGTTACCTCATAAACACCCCTCCCTTTTTATGACCCTATAGTCCAGTGGTTCTCAACCTATGGGTCGGGACCCCATTTGGGGTCGAACAACCATTTCACGGGAGTCGCCAAACAACGCAGTCCGCCATTTTTCCCCCCTTTCCTTAGCTTTTGAAAGCCAATAGAATAGACTCTCTTGAATAGAGTCTAATTCTATTGGCTTTCAAAAGCCAATAGGAATTGTCCAGGCTGTCTCTGCCCTGCTGAGCCCGCCAAAAGTCCCATTCTGCAAACAGTGCTGCACCAGTTGAGTAGTCCTCGACTTACGACTGGTTGAGTAGTCCTCGACTTACGACCGGTTGGGGGGTCGCGGCATTAAAAAAGTTGAGAACCACTGCTATAGTCCCTATTCGGGATGGAGTCATGGTGACTGGATGGAGCTGAGCATTTACTAGCTAGATGCCCTTCCTGATGCCTACAAGTTCACAGCAGATAGTTTTTCTTCTCACTATAGCAGGGGTGTCAAACTCAATTTCACTGAGGGCCGCATCAGCATTATGGTTGCCCTTAAAGGGCTTGTTGCATGTAAGACTATATATCATATTAGTTCAAGAGTGCATTATTTCTAAGACGTGGCTTGGGTTTCTCAACTAGCTTTGGCCCTTGCCCAATGTGTGCAGCACAGACAAAGAAAGAAGAGGAAAGGCAGCAAGGCAGGCAGGGGTGAGAACTGAAGAAACACACAACCCAATGCCTTCCGTCCTTTCTTTTCCCCTCCCTATCTTTTCTTTCCTTGCCAGCCACTCAATCTCAGGCAGAGGGACCTTTAGCTATGCCTGCCTGCCCTGCGGTTACCACTGCCACAGAGCTCCATGCATTGGAGAGGCTCCCGCTGCCCATCCTCTGCTAGCGCTACGCACCCGAAGAAGCGAGGAGGTAACTACTCAGTCACCTCCTCCTCCTAGTCTGCTTGTGGGCCAGATCTGGCCCATGGGCCTTGAGTCTGACATGACTGTGCTACAGGAAAGAAACATCTGCTTATACTTAGGATTGAGCCCTCAACCTTCCAAGTGGGAAGCAAGCATCTTCCCCACTAGGCCACCACACCACTCTTTTGTTATCTTACAAGCTGTCTTTTTTTCTTCTTCACAAAAATGCCTTCTTTAGTAATTAAATGCCTTGTTAGTACAATTTTTGAATATACATATACAGTACTTTGGGTTAGAATTAGGATCAAAATATATTAAAATTCTAGTATGTCTAGAAATAATCATATCTGTTAGGAAGCCATGAATATAATGTCTTTAAAATGGTCCTTTTCCACATGCTAAATTGAGTTTATGGGGAAACCAAACATTAAAAAATTGGAAAAAAAGATGCTGATATGAAAAAATGGGATGAAAGCAAGAATACTGACTTTGGATCAGTTGATAGAGGATGAGGATGAATTTTTAATATATGCTGTGCTAAGAGACAAATATAATTTATTAGATGTAACAGTGGCAATATTTATACCTACAACTTTTATTAATAATATTGTTTGGACCAACAACATTTTCAGCTTCTGAGACACTGAGATACTAGGAAAGTTTGTTAAATTTTTTAAAACTAAAAAAAATACTATTAGTTTTGGTACATATTTGTTATGAATAAATCAATTTGATATGCAGATTTTAAAAGATGAGTGAAATAAGTACATTTCTTTATTGTCTAGATGATTAAAAAGTGTCTCAACTTCTACAGGAAAGTGTCAATGGACCTTAAGCTACAACTTAAGCAACAAAAATACAGGATTGTTTGAGACATCATTTTGTTGGAAATGTAATGAGGACAATACTTCTTTAAAACACATGTTGGGGCCCAGAAAGATGGTGTAGAGATCTAACATCTGTTGTTAAGAACTCCTTCTAAAACCTCCTTTTTATTTTTAACTAATTCTTTGCTTTTACTTCATCCCATTTTATTTTATTTTCATCCCTTTTATCCCTTTTCTGCTGGAGACCTGTATTTTTAGTATTTTTTATCAGAGATTAATATTTTTATCATATTTGCTATAGAGAAAAGGAAAAAGATATGATATGTTTATTAATATTCTTTTATATGCTGATATGATTTTAAGAGTGCATTCTCAAATAAGCCTGAAAACATTGTTGTACCTACTATGCTCTAAATTTTTTAAACATCAATAAAACCAAATCTAAAGTGACAAAAAAGTGTGAAATATAACTAAAAGGGAAGCCTATTGAACAAGTGAATTCTTTTACTTATTTAGGAGTGGTTTTTATCAACACAATCATGGATAAATTATTTTAAAGGAAGGTCAGCAAGGGCCAAGACAAGTATTACAAGATTATACAAATTATTTAATTACTATTATCAGAATACCTGAATGTATATACTGAAAGTATTCAGGACAAAAATAGTCCCTATGCTGACTTATGATGTGGAATTGTGGAGCCTTGCAAAAGCCACCTCATTTGACCAAGTTCAGTCCTGTTTTTTAAGAAGCTTACTAGGAACTGATAAGAACACATTAGTCCCTGTGGTCAGAACAGAAACAAAGCAGAAATGCTCCATACCTAAAAATTAAATTTTTTTTCACATACTGGCAGAAGATCCATTCAACAGACTCTGGTACGCTACCCAAAATATGTTTAGGACAGATAACTATGGCTCAGCCCAATTCCTGGATAAGCTGACTTACCAAAGTTATTTCACAGCATGGGTTTCCCAGTATTTATTTTCAACTGCCTCCCAGGCAAGGAAAATTAGATATCAGTGCTCAAACTGACATGGAGTTAATGGCAAAAAATAGATTTTTAAGTTGCTTGGCTAGGAACAAAATTACTTTTCAATTTGAAAAATTACTTGTCAGTGAAATTGACACAATTGGCAAAAAGGGCATGTTTCAGAGTCAGATTCAAGCTACTGGATTCCATAACCAAATTTGGGCAGTTCCACCACCTATCGTGTCATGAGAGAATATGTATATGCAGTGCCCTACCAATCAAAGACATTGTTCATGATTTGTTTGACTCTTGGGCTTACATGACACCCCTAGATAAAAGAACAGCCCGCTGAGATTTGAATCACAGACTGTCCTATTTCTTCTGGGTTCTAATCTATACATAGTGAATAGAACTGCATAGTTTATAATTAAGGCAGCTGAGCTAAGAACTTGTTATATCGAACAGATTCAGATTGGGACATTTCAGCATGGACCCTTGGCCGCGCCTCCTTCGCCTCCAACCTCCCGCCTCAGCCCATTTACAGCCAGCTTTCCTCCTCTGCTGGCCCTCCCCCAGCCATTCTCCACAGCCAGTGGGCCTCTGGCCCTCTGCCATTTGTCCTGGCCATTTGCCCAGGAACTCTTTGTCCCGGGCCATTGGCTACACGGGACAAATAGCCACCAGCCAATCGGGTAGTAGGCAGAAGCAATGGTGCTGTGAAGGCAGCGTGTGATTGGTGATGAGCGATCACAAGGGTTGGGAGGGGGTAGTGTGTGATGCAAGAACTTTTTAAAAAGTACAGTGGCTGCTCCACAAATTTTGGGGCCTTGCAACTGTCACCAGGACCTAACAGAGGGGGAGCGGTGGTGGGAGTAGCAGCCACCGAAGCCACTGGGGAGGCAGACAGGCGACAGTGTGTTGGGGAGACTAGGAAACGGCTTCCTTTTTTTCCCCATCATCTCCTCCATTGCTTCTGCGCCTGGACTCCAGCCTGATACCGAATGGGTAGTTCATGCACCATCTCAAGTTTGTCTGCTGTGCCTCCCCCAGCCCTCCCCGCAATTGCAGAAGCTGCACCAGCCCTGCAGCTCACCTACACATCTCCTCCAGAGCCCCCTGCTCTGTGTCAGCCTCGCTCCTGCTCCCCTCTTTCGTTTCAACTGTGAGCAAGCTGTCCTTGTGAAGCCCCTCCTTCCTTTCCTGATCCCCAACACACTCACCTGTCTGTGCCCCCAATGGTCTTGACAGCTGCTATGCCTGCCGCCAGTCTCCCTTACTCAGGTCCTGATGACGGAACTGCAAGGCCCCAAAACTTGTGAAGCAACCGAAATACTTAAAAAAAAATCTTGCATTGTCCACTGCCATCCCCACTCCCTGCGAATGCCCATTGCCAATCGCATGCTGCCCCTGCAGCACCATTGCTTCTACTTGCCACTTGATTGGCTGGCGGCTATTTGTCCCATGCAGCCAAAGGCTCGGAACAAAGCGTGTCTGGGCAAATAGGTACGGCCAAAGGGCGCAGGGCTGGGGGCCCATTGGCTGTGGACAATGACTGAGGAAGGGCCAGCAAAGGAGGAAAGCTGGTGGTAAATGGGCTGAGGTGGCAGGTTGGAGGCGAAGAAGGCATGGCCAAGGTCAGTGCCTAAACATCCTAAACCCAATAGATTAGGGTATCCTGTAAAGAAGATTTGAATGTTGATTCTTTGTATTTAGCACATGTGTTTTATTACTGCATTTTCTATCTCTTTTAGCATGAAATTAGATTCTGTATTTTATTGTTTTGTATTTTGATATGGATATAGGATTAATCAATTAATAAATTAAACTATCAAACACCTGTTTATATAATATTCTATACTTACTAAGGCTTTGCAAGTGGACTATATAAATTTGACTGTGCAACAAACAGTAAAATTTTCAGAGGTTACTATTCTCTTAATTACCTACTTAGTACATGGAATTTGACAACCAGATAATATAAATGAATTCTCCATACCCTTATTTTAGCTAAAAGTCTGATACTGCAACATTGGAAAGATAAATATATGATCTCTTTTACTCAATGGATTAAAAACCTGATTACAATTAATCAGGAGATTACTTAATGAGGAGATAAACACAGACTTTTTATGGATAGATATAGTGAAATACTGTATAGTCTTTTAAGCAAAATACAGTAGGCTTTAAAAAAGCATTATAGTTATATATGTGTAGTAGAAATACACTCACAGACATACACATACACTTGCATAACATTTACACTAGGTAATTATATATGGAATTATAATTACTGTTATAACAACATACTGTATATTCTTGCTGTAATTTCACTTATTTTAAGTACTTATGCATTTTTTTAGTATATGCATTTTGTGTTTGTTATTTTTGTTTTATTACTAAATACTATTTTAATAGTATTTAATAGTATAATTCATATAAAAATATCCCTACCTTCATCAAGTTCAGGTTCAGAATCACCAAATACTTCATCTTCATATCGAAATATATCATTGTGAACATAAAACTTGTTTGGAACAGATCCCTGAGAAAACAAAGATACCATAGAGAGAAGAAAGCTTAATTTGCAAGGGCAAAGTTAATATCTGTGGAGTGCATAGTTGCAAAGAAAGCTCCACTGATATATGCATGAAGTCATCTGGTGATGAGCTCAATGTGAGGGAGGTTTAGGTACAGAGCATTTAATGAAAGAATACATCACTTTGATGTGCCTTTTCTTTCTTTATGGACATAACAAAGCTTGATTGCCATAATTTCAAGTTTCTGGGAAGCATCACTAAACCCAAGACTCTTCAGAGTTGAGATTTTGCCTATCAATAGGAAGACTTTTTTATTTTCAAACAGTGAATAGCCAAGTCTTGTAATAATACAGGATCTGGTATATACTGAAATGAACAAGAAAAAAATAACCATTCTCAGCCAGTGTTCAAAATTTCACATTTGAAGAACCATTATTATTGGAATTGGAACCATTAGAATTGCTAGTTCATACTGATATCATCAAACTTAGCTCTTACCCCACTTCTAGCTATAGTCTAATCCAGTGGTGGTGAACCTATGGCACAAGTGCCAGAGGCGGCACTCGGAGCCCTCTCTGTGGGCACACGTGCCATTGCCCCAGCCTCACCTTCCCCTGCGACCCCTCATCTCCAGCAGGCCCGTGAAGGAGAATCGCCCCTGAACATCGCCCACGTGGAGCAGTGCAGCCAAGGACATGGCAGCTAGGCAACATAGACAAGATTCTGCCCTCACACCTCATCGTGCACAGTTGATGCTACAGGGCGCAGGCAGAGGGCATGACCGCCATAGTGCTGCTGGGCTGCCTGGGTGATCTACGACGGGCCCTGGAGGCGGTGAGTGGCCCTGCGGGCAGGCGGGGCAGGGGGTGGAGCAGGGGCAGGGCCAGTTTTTGGGCACTTGGTCTCTAAAAGGTTCACCATCACTGGTCTAATCATTTGCCCTTTGTTTTCCATTTTAATTAAATAAAGTCACATTTTGCTAGAACTGCCTGCCTGGGTTACAATGCAAGATGTCAGCAGAGAACTATAAATGAAACTTTCAGCTTGTAGGCATTTTACATTACATTTTTAGAAATTATTTTTAGAAAAATAATCAAAAATTAAGCCTAGCAAAAACATGTCTGCTTTAAATTTTCACTTGCCCTTCCCTTGAAAATCCAAATTTTTCCACACAATTTGGAGAAGCTCTGGGAAAGCTGAAAAAGCATTTGGTTTATTAGCTATGGCTTGCAATTTCGGTTGTTGTTGTTCTTGTTATTAGGGCTGATGAAGTAATAGAAACCAGGCAAGAGCTCCATGCATCTTGTAAGTATAGATACATGTCTTTGCTTTCTAGTTTTGCACTTAGACATATCTCCCCTCCAATTCTGGAGGAACCCAAATTCTTGTAATGTAAGTGAAACTGCTCATGCTGTCCTACATTTCTGATAATAGTTAAAGGAAGGAGTAGATGGTCAGCAAGGAACACAAAGTAAGCTTTTAATCCTGATCTAGTTCACAGTTCTGTATAAAGGAGGTTTTTTTAGGAAGACGTAATACTGGTAATCCTCAAGTTACAAATGTAATGGAGCTGTCAATTACATCCACACGTTGAGAGGATGTTAAGTAATCACATTAAGTGAACAGACCCCCATTCTCTCCAATGCATTTGTTAAACAAATATGTGGGTCGTTGAGCTTGCATGAGGTGCCTCAAGGGTGGGGAAAATCATGGAACAAAATCACCTGCCTCTGGCCTTCCCTCATCCACTAGATATCCCATGCTCTGCTTCCTACTCCTTGAAGTACCCACAGTTGCTTGGGCATCCTCTGCCCCCACCCCCTGCACCATTCCTCCCCAATCCCCATATAGAGGTGCAGCTAATGGTGGGTGGAGGGAAAACATGGAAGTAGCCAGCAAAACTCTTCCTTTAGAGTAAGCTTCCCATAGACGCCGGTCTTTTTGCAAACTAACACAGGTGTAACTAATGGTGGGGGAAAGAAAGGGAAAGGTTTTCTGGCTACTTCCATATTTTCCCTCAACCTACCATTAGCAAGGCATAGAAGGCAAATGGCAAGGAAAGGAAATAAGATTTCTCTCCCTCGTGAGTTCATCCCGGGCGTCATGGCGACACGGATGTAAAAACCAGAGCTCCGGTTTCCTAGTCCGATTTCGCTTCGTCTGGAGACCCAAAGAGGTCAGAAAGTTGCCCTGGAGAGGTAATGAGGAGGAAGGGAAACCTTGGGAATTTGGAGCCAACGGCGGTTGGCCCAAACAGACTGAGGAAACTCTTCAAACAGGCGGGAGAAAGGCTGTCGGCAAGCACGTAGACAGCCCAGGAAGAAGTGAAAAGTCACAACAGTGCTGGCGAACAGCTGACTATCAATAACGTGTTTGATCTGGGTGAGATCCTTCTTTATTTCTCTTCCCTACAGACTTTTAAAATATAATTCCCTGAATTGGATAACTTTTAAAAGTAAAAAAACCCAGAAGACTTGGGAAGAAGAGAGTTAAAAGTGGCGAGACAAAATTAAGGAATATAAAAAAATATGCAGAAAAGATTCGAGACTGATTGAAAAGAAAAAAAATGATAATCTGTTGTTGGTTAATTTTTTTTACTTGGAAAGATTTTTTTACTTTGTTGTGAAAGAGCATTTTAAATAAAAGTTTTACTACCGGATAGAGACATTATAACTAATGAGAACATCTAGTGGTGAAGGAAGATATTACAATAATACAGAAAAAATCAGAAGAGTGATGACCTTGAAACAACACCTGTGCTAAACCAAGAACATCCTTTTCTACAAAAGAAAAAACAAAGATTTTTTTAACAACATCTTTCAACTTTAGATATAACTATTATAGAAACTATTTAGAGACAGATTTTTTTCTTTTTTCTCTCTAATATCTTTGAACTGACAGAAATATTTGGATTAGACTTATGCAGTTGGTGTTTTTTATTTGGCTGAATTTCAGCTTAAAACAGTTGGCTTCTTTTTAAATTTGGATTATAGCCTAAAGCAGTTGGCTCCCTTTTAAACTTGGAATATAGCTTAAAGCAGTTGGTTCCCCTTTAAACTTGGATTATAGCCTAACATAGTTGGCTCCTTTTTAAAGTCGGATTATAGCCTAAAGCAGTTGGCTTTTTTCTCTCTCTTTTTTCCCTTCTCCCTGTGGATTTACAAAATCTGCCTGATTGAACAATGAGTGCACCAAACCTCACTAAAATTACAAAAAAACAAAACAAAACAAAACAAAAACAAACCCTGCTTCTGCACCCTCTTCTGGAACATCTAGCCCAGTATGTCAGGGATCTATTGAAGCAATATTATGAGAGAAGGCAAACAACCTCCAAAAAGAGATGCATGCGGCTTTACAACTAATGCAAGAAATGATGCAGAAAAATCATCAGGAAAGAAAAAGCAATCTTGATAAGCTAAACAAACAAATACTTAACATAAAGACACATTTTGAGGTTCAACAACAAATGATCCTTAAAAATGAACGAAGAATTCAGAAGGTGGAAGAACTATGAGAAGATACTGGGGAAAAAATTGAAGCACTAATAACAGAGAATGAAAAATTAGAAGGAAATCAAAACCTAGAAGGGGCAGTCGCTGCCTTGGAAATGGAGAAGGCAATACACTATTTGAGATTCCAGAACATACCCAAAGATAAAGAGGAAAATATAGCAGAAGTGATTATTATTAATCTATTTAATCTATTAGCAGAGACCCTAGAAATGGAAAGATTGGAGATGCAGCAAGAAGTGGATGAAATATTTAGAATGAATTCAAGTTATGCAAGGAAACACAAATTGCCTAGAGAAGTCCATGTAAGGTTTATGAAGAAAATAATGAGGGATGAGATATTAAGAAGAGTTAGAGATAATCCATTACAAGATAAAGAAATAGTAGTGTTGAAACAGATTCCCAAGAGAATAAGGGATACTCAAAGACAATATCATTTCTTGACTATAAAGCTGATTGCAAAAGAAGTAAATTTTAGATGGCTGATGCCAGAAGGGATTTTAATTAATTGGAATAACACAAGATATCGTTTGGAGTCAATGTGGAAGGTAAAGGATTTTGATGAAAGATATAGAGCATTTCTGGGAGAAAGAACACACTATCAACAAGAGGATGGAAAAAGCCAGAAACAGATAGAACAAACAATAGAGGAAACAATTACACAGGTGGAAGAGGAAAAAGAGAAGATGAATAAAGAAGATGAGGGAATAGGACTTCCGGTGGTGACAGCTGCACTGATGGCGGCTTTTCTTTAGCCGTCCGCCCGCCCTGGGAATGTGTCAAAGCCTGCGGAGACGGCGATCAACAGCTGTTTCGGGGCTTGAAGCTTCTCTCCTCAGGAAAAGGGGAGGAGGCGAGCTTGCCCGGATAGAAGTTGAGTTCCCCAAGACCCCCATATTTTTTTTATTGGGGGTCGAAGGGTGAGAACTCCTTCGGAGTCCGTGGTATTCTCCACACCCCAGGAGGTCTTTGTTCTGATTTCAAAGGAACAAAGCTAGACGCTGCTTCCACTTCTGCTTTCTAAGAGAAAACTGTGAGTAAATTTAAAGCAGACGGAGCTGATCAGGAGAAATTAGAATTGTGAGAATTTGGGACTTTAACTCAGGAGAATTAAAGAAACTTCTCCATCTATTAATCTTAATAAAAGGACGAGTAGAAAATGGCGCAGAAATGCTGTTTTTTTGTTTGAACAGACATCGTTAAGATGGACTTTCACTTTTAAAGGTAACAAAGTTTAAACAATGTAATGGATTTTGACAGTCATTCAAAAAGCAAGATTCTTTTTTTTTTAGTTGGACTTTCTCTTTTTTTCCCCTCTTTAAGTGCTGGTTTAAGATTTTACAAGATTTATAAGAAGTGTTTTTTTTTTTTAATAGTCTGAAAATGGCTTCAAAAAGTCCTGGAATTTTGGTTCTTCCTAAAGCCTCAATTTCCTCTCCGGTGGTACAGCAGACCAAGCCTAAATCTCCCCCGCCTTCTCCCCCATCGCATGCATT